TTTAGGTGTCTCAATTAAAATTGTATATCTCTTATCACAGGATATAAGGAACAGGGTAGGGTGAATAAAAAGCTAAATATTTTTTTAAAAACTGGATGATTTATTTTATACCATATAATAATATATATTCATTATTGAAACAAAGTACGATACAAAATGTACACGTTCGCCTTAAATCCGTAACTACAGTAATGTTATTTGATACTTAGTTTAAAAAACTACGTACAATATATGTAGTTACAGCAGATACCTTACTAGATACGTCAATAATTTATACAACGTCCGAGGAGAATTTAAAAGATTCCTCGCAAAATAACTTATCAATACAAAATAAAGCCTAAAAACTATTGCAGATAATAGATTTTTATAAAATAAACCCAATACAGGGGAATATTTTTTTTAATATTTTAGCGAACCGTGCGTTGTAGTTTTTACTTAAGATCATCTACTATGTACAACATTTTAGAACCAATTACAAAGTTGGTAACAAAGAAGCATCGTCAGTATTTGGTTAGCCAAAAAACCGTAACTGTTTAGTGCTAAAGAGAGATCCATCGGTAACGGCGTCTAACAGCTTCATTAGTTTTTGGTATCAATGAAAAAAAAAAAATATTAAAAAAAATCAGGTATCAATAATGAAAATGCCACGATTGTCCTTGAAACAACACACTCAGCTCTGACGTGACGTGAATGTAATATAGTCTTAAACTGCCCAAAATCACTTAGACTAGAATGGGTTTGGAACACACGGTTGTAGTGTGATTTACAAAGGAAATTATATAAAAAAGAATACGTGGCATTAAGTAGTTCATTAACGAGGTATTTACAATGTCCAATGGTATAGAAGAGAACGACTCGAATGACAATGAAACAGTCCCATTTTTACATTTAAAGCCATTTTTTTAGCTTCAATAGTTTGAATTGGTTTTGGCATGTAACGTTAAATTTATACGAATGTTACTCAGTTAATAAGTATACATTTGCTGCTACTAATATAATAATATTACCTTAACATTACTTGATAGAATTTAATGGACCATTTTAATTTTTTTTTGTTCCTTATATATTTGATCGAGTATCAAGAACTTATTCAAAATATAAACATTCAGATAATATCATGAAGTATTTTATAAACCGAACATGGCCTGTCTATAAACTTTAGGGTGCTATTAAGAGATCGGCACATTACAGGAAAAAATAAAAAGGACAACTTAGATACAAAATATTCAAAAAAAAATACGATGGAACGTTATATAAAACAAACTATCACACTTATTTTTTGTAACTTTATGTGTTACTATATTACATACGACTAATGCCTATTATACCTATGTTAGTTCCTTGACTCAGATTGTGCGAAGTTTTTATATTATAATCTATATCGATAACCATAAATGACACAGCTACGTCAACAACCGATCAATATACATTCACTACTGGTTGAATTTTACATAATACATTTGTTAATTGTTTAAATTTACCATCTTATAGACACCAATTATACATCAGTTAATACTAAATATTTTAAGCATTATGTGCTATTGAAGGACAGAGGGGAAATGAAAATTATTCGTTGTGTCTCAAAGATCAAAGAGAATGATATATAAAAAAAAATCTTACAATAGAAGACGCTTATTAAATAAATCAACAACAGTACATATTATACACAGATATATTTACGATCTTTTTTCAAACAACATAACGAGTATATTTTCAACGTTTTCAGTTCTGTGAATGAATCACTAACATTTTTTTTTTGAATCGCAATAAAGACTTATCATAATGTTAAACATATATAATTAATATTCTACAAAGTTTAAGAAAAAATCTACTTGTATGACAAGCGATTTGTAAGCTACGACTCAGCAAAGATTTGTTGTTTCGATTTCCCAACTTCCAAAAACAGTTTATTGTTTACGCAATAATACTTAAAATCTAATACGAACGTAGTTCTTACTGGTGTTTAGATTAACTTTGAAATTTCATTTGGCCGGATAATAGATTGTATTGAATGATGGGAAATCGAAACCCAGAACAGAATACATACTCAATTCACCTGATTCTACTTCCTTTATTTAGGGAACAGCAGAAGTAGGTGAAGTGAGATACAAAAGTTCACAACAATGTACTATATAATCCATTTAATTATATATGTAACCTACAACAACTACGTCTTCTATGATATTTATTTATTATTTCTTTGAGACGCTTAATTTTACCCTCTAATTTTTCTCACAGTATCGCTTTATTTTGACTTTTACATAATTATAAACAGTTCCACTAATTAATTATTTACATTTTACAATACCTCGATATATTGGAGGTATAAAGCCTACAGATTAAAGCAAAAAATGAGAAAAATATGAAACAGATTTATCAAGAGAAACGAGAATTACAGTTTGTACAAAAAGTTATTCTTTACAATCTTAAATTTCAAAACGAAACATCGAACCCTGATAATTCCAATTATTGAATAAAAAGCGCTAAATACAACAATAAATTCGATGTTGTTTTACAAATACTCTACGGTTTTATTAAAAATATTCTCCTCCAATGAACATGCTTCTGTTTGTTTGTGCAGAAGAATTAGAAGAAGAGACTGACAGGTATGGCCAGAATGTACAAACGTCTCGGTTCATTTAGTTATTATATCAGGAGAAGATCTATCTCTAATTTGAGCGTTCGTGTCATTATAGATATTGCTTTTATTCGTGCAGAAATTTAATTTAAAAGCCTTTCATATCATACCGTGAGAAACTATATACTGATGTCGTGATGATTGAAGTACAAAATAACTACGAGGCAAATAAAAAATACATAAAAGCACTACCTTTAATACAAACATGTTTGAAAAGATATATTATTTTTTTTGTAATTATTATCTGGTGCTGGCTTTGACAGTTTTGCTTACAATGCAAAATATTGTCTTGTTATATACTTATATCTGATAATGTATGTTTAGAGGAAATAATAGTATTTATGGAAAATAATCTGTAGAGTACAAAATTTAGGCATTTGCGTAAAACTTTCAAAGCAGCAAAATAAATACAAAATGCATATCTGGTGTCCAAAAATCTTAGTATAATATTAAAACACAGTTTATAACAAACAGCTTCTAAGTAACCACTACGCGCTTACAAAGATATCTTGAGCAACACTATAATATACATATGAAAAATTCCAAGTAATTAATTAGGCACAAATTTTTTTTTTTTTTTTTTTTCTATGGATATATAATATCGCCTTACAACACACAAGACAGTAGTAGGTACTTACAGATTTACAAATAGTCATGTATAGATAACATGTATTTTATGCATTCATTTAAAAATAATTGGATTCCGTAGACACTCACTAAGTTACACAAAGTTATTTATACATAATATATTTATAAGAATATAAGTAAAGCATTTTCTTTTATATCGATCGGAGCACAAGGGATCCCGTATAAGTGAAATATATGTATTTCAGGGACACAGATTATCTACAAATATTGTATTCGTTATTTGAAACAGTATATTTTAGAAGATTTATAATATATTAATATGGTCGGTAATATTTATATTTGAAACATTACCCCACTAACTAACTGACGCCATTTTCAATGAATTGACAGTTTTCGCGAAGATATATAAAATGTGTTTAGCGCACGCCTCGCTGTGGACATCGGGAACACTATTCAATATCAAACTACTTTACCAATCATAAATTCGTTAAAATATTTTAGCTTTACGAGAAAATTTCGAGATCGTCACCCGATCTCCACAGGTAAGCAAATTATCAAAAATACGACCATATTTTTTTCTTATAAAACGTATGCCCAGTTCTAAAAATTAAAAAGTTAAGACAAGCTAGCGCTGCTAAAACTAATCTATGCGATATCAGTCTCCACTAGATTCTTATAATTTAGAAAATCCATAACGTAAATCACAGAGTTTAAACAGCAAAATATTTATTTATAACCGAAGTAGTGTTTGTTCATAATCACCGTCAAGCGAATTAATACATTCCGATTTTTGATATGTATCTTTCTACAGACGTTTTTAGAAACCATGAAGCGGGAAGAGTAAAAAATCAAAGAAGAAAGTTAAGAAGTGTCCCTTCGCATTCATCCTGAGGTGCCGTCATTTCAAGAGATACAGATTCTCCATACCTTACCATTGAACGGAAATTACCTTACCTTAAACGACCTAACATACACTATAGCGAGACGAATCACTCGTAACATCTACACAATCCCTTACCATGATTCCATTGAATGATTTTAACAAATGTCACGCGTGCGAGGAATATATAAAGTACACATTATCGTCTACCGTTCACGCGCAGCTTGTTCCAACAAAGAGAAAGTAAGCACGGTAAGGGCCAAATCCTTGCAGAGTCCCGCACTCCGAAATTCAAAACGACATACTGATTAGCTTCCAAAAGTGAAATTATAAAAGTATATCTATTATCTACGTGTGCATCAAAGTATATAGTGATCTTACGTACAGTAAATAGAACGCAAGGTGAACATGAGTTTAACCTATTCTTATTTTTCTATTACTCGATATATATTCCATCTAAGAGGTTTAAATGTAAATAAACGATTGGTCTTACAGTAAAATTGTTAAAAAAGTAAAATTAAGAGCTTAGGACTTTCGAACTTACTATAGAAGCCAAGTCGAGTAATGTACACGTATAGAACACGGACGCGACAACGCGGTGCTAACAGGCGGCGACCTGACCAGACCGGACCGTAACTTGCTAATCAGGCGACGGAGAGTAAGACGGATTATTTACTGAGATGCGTCTGAGACGTGCCGTTTGGAAACCACCCTGATTACATTGTTGTAAAACGAAAGAAAAACGTTTTAAACGAGAACCAACTCACAGCCTATGTTGTAAAAATCGATGTTATGACATCGAAAGCCATTCCCGAATAGTTCGCATTTGCAATAAAGAAAATAAATCGAAAGAACTGAAAGTGAACAAAGCCGTGTGGCCGAACAACTCAGAAATCAAATTTCATCATCAAATCTTATTAAATAACTTTGTACATTAAATCCAAATGTCGACACGTCAATTGGATGTAGGCACTCTCTAGGCGGGGCGGCGAGCGGTCGCCGCGTCGTCGGCCCCGTTTGGCGGCTCGAAAATGAGATCAGTGGTATCGGCCAGCGGCCGTGGCGACCTGGGCACCGCTTTAAGACGACGTAAGGTACGATGAGAAAGTAGGGTCATCCCAATCCCCTGCTACGCCGATCTCACTGAGCATATCAGACACGTCCGGCGTGCATGAGAACTCAAAGTGTGATCCCGAAGAAGAAGATGCCGTCTCAAAGTCCTCCATTTCCGTCAACGCGTCTAGATCAACTTCACAGTCTGCTGGTAACGTAAATAAATCCGTAATTGAATAGAGTTCAGTTAGGTCTGATTGATCGCGTTTCGTGTTATCGTCATAGAAACACGCAGATTCAGGAGAATCCGGCGATCCTGCTGGTGATGCTGGCAGTGGCGGAGGAGCTGGTGTTTCCATTGGAACACTGGAGATACTCGGGACCGTCCGCGTTCTCCGTCTGGATACACCTCTATTGTTGTTACTGTCAGCTCTCTGTTTACGCTTCTGCTTGGTTATTGCACCACTTCTTTGTGCAGGTTTTGCTGTCTTCTTGCGAGGCCTATATTTATAATCAGGGTACTCGCGCATATGCAGTTGTCTTAGCCTTTCCGCTTCATCTATAAAAGGCTGCCTTTCCTCGTCGTTTAGCGTTTTCCAAACTCGCCCTAAGTTCTTAGAAATTTCTGCATTATGCATATCTGGAGTTTGTTCGCAAATTTTTCTGCGTTCGATTTGGGACCAAACCATAAACGCATTCATTGGTCTCTTGATGTGATTTGGGTTGTTCTTTTTTGTCTGTGAACAAAGAAAATATGTACATTAGTTAATGAAATAAATAAAATTGCAGAAAAAAATATTTATTTTTGAACAGGGTCACTGTGTCAGCAAAATCTTAGAGACCACAATATCCTGAACTCCTGCAAAGAACTAGCTATCGAATTAGTATGCATGACATTGCAGCATTCAGTTTGCGTCCTTACTATTAATAATATTGTTATCATAGGAATTATTACTATTATTATAAAGAGGATGTAATGTGATCAATTCAAATTGGTTTTCGAAGGAAAATATAATAGAAACGTTAAGTGAATACTTAATCGACTACTGGTAATATAGTTTAAAACGTGTATTTAATATTAATGCATCTTAACTACTTAGAGATCATTATGAATTTTAAGACATCTTAATATTTTCGAACTGTCTTGAATGGCTGAGGAAGTTATTATGAATAGAAGTGACAATAACGCTTCATTTTCTCTTTACTATAACTCTCTTTGAACCTGGTGGGAAAAGTTTCCTACGAATATTAGGCGGTTGCAATAAAGTAAAGTATTACCACCTCTACAAAGTAAAATATAAAAACAAGATACTATAAGCGAATATGTCTTTTATTATTCAAATCTTACTTTCGCTAAACTCAGCTTCGGTCCCACTGGTAACAGTGAGGGGAAAAAATCTCACTCGAATTTATATTTTTTGCTCGTCTTATTTATATTCAGGATAAAAAAGGGTTTGTCAGATGGCGACTAAATCAAGTTTAGAACGCCCACTTCGGCTTTCAAGGTGAACAGAGCTGAGGTAGGAATTTTTTCTACATCGAATTAAATATGTTCAAACTACTAGCCGCTTCATAAATCTTAACCAAAAGAAATTTTTACTATAAATAACATTGATCCCATACATTAGATACATATTTAATAGTTAAAGTTTTAATACTACGCTTTATATTGTATGTGAAATTAATAAATTACCGACTGACTCTAGTATTTTAATTATTTTCTCTAAGAATTTGTTTCCAAAATAAGGTAATTTAGTAAATTACTCAATTTTAAGCTTCAGTACTTTGTAAGAGGCGGTGATATTATAAAATTTCATTTTTCATGCTTCAAAACCTTTTTCGTTTTGTTTGAGTCTCATTGCTGAGTTTACTTTGTTAAATGTCTTATTATGTATTCAGGGAGAGACTGACACTGGATTTGCAGAAATAATTTAATTTTATCTTCTTCAAACTTTTTACCGTTTATAAATTGTAAAATATATATTTTTTGCGATTAATTTTATTTAAACACAGCTTTTCTTGTACTGCCGCTATTTTTATAAAGATCTCATTATACCTTGAGGAGGTTTAGAAAAAAAAAAACAAAATAATTTGCCATGCCTGAAAAAAATTTATTACGGAACCAAAGCAATTAGCTTAAGCGTGCTCAGACCTCCTATATACGGCTTAGCAACCTTCTATTTAGAGCAACGTCAATGTACACTCGTCGTTTGACTATGCTGGCAACACAAGGGCATCCACTTCGCTTCCTGAACACGACATATATCTTTTGAATGGACCTATTTGTTACAGAAGGTTTTACCTTCTAATCCATATGCTTTTTTTCCTTTAGTATGTGATGTTGACAACATTTTAATCTCTCATTTCATATTTTATGTTTAATTTTTTTTGTTTTAATTGTACAGACTATTGAAGTCGCATCTTCAGAATAATTTTAATTTTCATGAAGACAATTGAGATATATGTATGTGGATTGTAATTAATTTGTGAATATGAGCACAGCGGTGTCAAGTTCAAAATGGTCATAAAATTGATATGGTAATTCGCTTTTTGTTCCAGGACAATGGTTTATTTCACTTGTATTAGCTGTGTTATTTGTTTGGGCCTTAAAAACCAGTTAATTTTCTAAAGTACACAAGGAGTATAGATGTTGGTAGGTCTTGTAACTTGATAAACTCCAATTAAAGTGCAGTTACGATACTCAGTCATATAAACATATGGGTAAGTAAGTATATTGTGTTTCCGTGTTTTAAGCACGTACTCAATTCCGGAGTTTTCGCAAATCAAATGGAGGTCGCGACGATGAGGTATTTAAAGATGATTTACAACAACTTCCTTTTAGGAAGCGATATCTTTAAACAGCTTGAGAACTGGTTTTTAATACTAAATTAGAAGAGGAAAAATTTTCGCTACCGGCCCCGAATTCTATTAGAGGCTTATAATAAAAAAAAAATATTACGTATCAATGTATAAAATATTAAAACATTCGCCGATCGAGTGGCCTCTTTATGAATTTCGGTATGGCTTATTTAACATTGAAAAAGGAGCCGAAATTAAATACCAGATGTAATTTATGAATTTCTCGCATGAGAATTTTTTCGATGTATTTAAAAAAATATAAACGTAAAAGAGGCATCCATTTATATTTAATTTAGATAGAACAACCATACAAATCTGACACTTTACTTAGGGTTTTAAGCCCTTAAGAGTTTTAGCGTAATATACAAGATACGAGAAAATATTAATGAAGATGTTGACAATTCCGAGTCCTTTAGCACTGAACAAAGGATTTGGGAATAAAGATTAGGTGGGGCCTCATTGTTATGGGGCCTTACAGATGAGGCCTTTGTGCTCCGCTGATAATGAGTTACAATAGTCAATATAAAAATTTTAGGGAGCCCCTCACAAGAAAATCAAATCACGATTCAAAAAAGATCACACTTCAATCATCGGTTACCAACAGAACGTTTCAATTCATTTATTACTGAACTAATAGTTCCTGATAGTTAATAAGTAAATCATAGATATTACAAAACAAGGCGTGGCTAAAAGTAGATCACGATTAAGTAATAAAAACTAAACATTATTTGTGCTTACATTTAAACTACAACTAAGATATAATTATAATTTTTGGTACTACCAATAAATAGAACCTTCAAAATATTATATCAAATTTACGCTTCACCGATCATTTTATTAAAGCAGACCCTTATTACTGAAGCAATTTGATCGGGTTCGTTTGAGAATAAAGAATGGAATTTTTCTGACGACATCTTGCGCTTTATTGAGTAGAATTTATACTTTCATGAAATTATTAATGATTTATATTTATTTTTCATTTAAGATGAGAAAAATATCACAGACTAAATGACAGACGCAAATCAGAGTTAAATATTAAATATTTCACATTGATTTCGTACAAGAGAAAACCTAAAGATATTTAAGAAATTTAAATAGAATAGCACTCTCAATAGCTGAAACGTTCAATCGCATTTTAGAATCGCTGCCGACGCTGTGTATGTTAAGTAAGTACGTAAGAAAATACTGATATATCGCCGTACCAGGAAGTGAATATAAATTGATTATGGATCATGAATAGGCCATAAGTGGCCGACGATTCAGCAGCTTTAACGCAAGATACATTACTTTTAACACAAACAATGCTCGACGATTATATTAAATACTCTCATATAAACGATCTGTTCTTAAAAGTTCAGTACAATATTTCGATACTCAATAATTACTTGCGACATTATTCCGTGTATGAATACAATGGAGATAAAAACAAATTAATCTGAATACAGAATAGTGATGCAATTACTGTTTGATTTAAAATCTATAGTGTGTGAGGTAGGCGTTGCGTCCATCCATCATGTTTCAAATTCAGGGTTATATTACTTTCAATAGTCCCAATCATTTTCTGTTGCTGACTTGAGGCGTTTCGTATATTATTTCCTAATATTTTCATCATCATTATTCTTAATTGCCTTTGTAGTCATATCATACATAATATACTTATTCACTATTGTACTTTTAAGTGAATTAAAATTAATATATGTATTTGTTAATTTGTACGTCTAATTCTTATCACCCAGGTTTTTTACTGGCTATTGATAACACGTGTAATACACAAGTATTCAAGTTAATATTCATTATGATGTTGCTTGTATATCAAAGATATTGTCATATTTCATACAGCCAAAATTTTGTACAGAGAACCTATTAAGTTACAAATATTTATAATAAAGATAGTTCAAGCCTTAATATATCTATCAATATATTGTAGATCTAATTGGTAATGAATAAAGCAGTAATTATACTGAACTGAGATTTCATACGAGTTTATTAGTATTATTATAGAGTTCACCTTTGAAATCACAAAGCGAAACATATAGGCCAAGGTTTATAATATTGTGATATGTAGCATCACGTACGTTCAAAGGAGTTTTTACATGATTTTAGTAATAAATCTTGATCTGTTCAGGAGGTACATTGAAATTCAACGGCGGTTTATTTTCAATACCGAATGCCGATTGAATTCCTAGCCTTTATCCCGGCACGTAGGGGTAATGTTTGTTATACATTATATAGACTTTTATAATTCTAATTTGATATTTTATAATAGTCTATTACGTCCCACATCTTAGATAATATTTATAATGCAACATGACGTATGTACATTTAACGAAGCGGCTAAATTTAAAAATGTTTAAACGATCACTAAGTTTTTGCATTGATTAGTCTTGAAACTGAGCTTGGAAACATTCTCATGAATTATTTATTTCCAAACAACTCGTTCAACAAATTTGGTAACAATAAAAGCTACTAAACTAAAACTGACTACCAAACAGTTTTTTTGCTGTTTTAAGATACTCATCAATGTTTTTAATTTGAATCTAAAAGGACACTGCAAAGGCCCAATCGAATCACTTGTAATAAATTATTGATCATACATTATCGTGTTGGTAACACCGACAGACATTCTAACGAGTTATGGCCAAATAAGAAAAATGCGTTGATATTATCCTCTGTAACACAATGTAATAAAGCATTAAATGGCATACATAAAATTGATGTATAGCACAAATTTGTTTCTGTGCGTACAATGAAACAATAATAATCCGCCTCTTTATATGGATATACCAAATTGGTAAACACAAATGGCTCACACTCACATACATTTGTCTAGTACACTACTACAGCTTTGTTTTATTTCTTAAGAAAACGAATTGCTTTCGCACATGTTCATGAAAAACTTATTGTTACACTTCAGTAAGTACAAATTCAAGTCGAAAGTTCATAGAAAATAAAAAGTTTCAATTAAAGCCTAAGTTTATAATCTACAAAGGAATATATTATTTAGTATGTAGAAATGTCTGCCATATAATCTACACGCATATAGTGCTAGTTGTAATTCAAGGCATGCTCGCATGAATAGACGATTATGGCGAAAAGGGGTCGAATTGACGTATCTTTAGAAAATGCTCATGACTGTTGACACGTGTCGGCTGGTGAGGTAGGGACTGTTGCTAATGTGGAACGGAAATGTTGGATTTATTGTAACAATGTTCAAATCTATTGTGGTTAGCAGTCATTTATTTTTGACCTGTGAAAGTAAAGACATTTGTAATAAAAGTAATTTACGGTTTTTGATCGAATGTGGTTCAAGTCAAAGAACTAAATACATTGGAATATAATAATAAAGTTTTTCTGATTTAAATTCGATGATTTTTAATTGTTTTCCTTATATTAATGTATTATTAATTATTAATACTAATTCGGTGCTATATAATAATTGTATAATGAACGTCATAGATCACATCAGAATGTCATATAAATCGAATAGTACAACATTTAGCCAATACGTCAACAAGACGTCATATACTGGGTATTGAATTTGAAACCGTTCGTGTTTATCGCCTCTAGGCTTACCAACTGACCCGTAATAAGCCTGTCAGTTCATTAACTCGAATAGAGCTGCATAATGGTATTAGACATCATGTTTGCAGTTAGAAAAGTTGTTACAATACATGCTTTACCGTTAAATGTTTTGTATATCGATGACCCCAAAAAGGGCCTAGAAGAACGCTTCAGTTTGACTCTTAAAAGTGTGTCGACCGAGCCCTAAATATGTTCTATAATAATACCGAAATATGATTGTCAAGTCAGAAAAAAATATAATGTAGAGCAAGAAATATGACTTCCATTAAATCCCTGTTTACTTCGTGATTGTAATATGATTTTTTGTAAGCACAGCTTCCAAATGTCTTGTTATTATAATGACCATTAAGCTAAATATAACCATAGGAACAGTATACCAGTTTCGTGGTTACACTCGTTACAGATCGCAAGGTCAAACACACGCCTTAGGCTTACAACGAACGGAACAAACATATCTATGAAATTGGGCTTGATTTTAATGTGCTGCCAAAAAAAGTATAGCAATATTTTCATGGTAAATATTTTTTCGAGATTCGAGCCAAACATATAAAATGAATGGTCATTTGTTTAAAATTTATTACTATATCTGCTGGCGTTAATTATTTAAATCGCAGTTCAAAAGTTTTTTGCTGGCTGTACTATTTAATCACGTTAAAAATTATTGTTGGATTTCGGTTTACTCCGAGAAGCAAATAATAACTTGATTGAAATGTTATATTTTAGAAGGTGAAATGAAGGTCTTAAAGCAAATCTCATTTATTTTTTGTTGGACGATTACCCTTCATTGCTTATTACAATTTCTGGGTCACACGTAACATTTATTTGTTATAAAATTATTATATTTTTTATCAATAAAAATTATGATCGTTCTTGAATTATGTATGATTGCAGTTATAAAGTTGTTTCAACATTTGTGTATATAATTATTATAATTTATTTCTGTATTCTATAACACAATGAACAGCTCAACGCAATTATGCATAATCCAGTTTTCATTAGGTCAAGTTAGAAACAGTTCAAAACAGGAATCGAACGGCCGACACAACAATTATCGATCATTAACCACTTTGTTCGAGGTAAAACTATATGTGCAACTGGACCCTTAACGCCTTTCTAATAATGTAAATATATAAAATAAATAGTAATGCCGTTATAACATCAACTAATAACTAGACATATATATAATAATCACGAAGACGTCGAATAAAAACTTAAAACGTATATTTGAATTCAGGACCAAAATTTCATTATAAAATTTTTAACACTCCAAAAGAATAAGAGAAGAAAAAAGTATAAAAACTGAATGAATTGAAGCTGTTCGAACGGTCTCATTCGAGCATATTCAAGCAAAAGAGTTAATTAAAACAACTTCCATAGGAAATTTTGTACAAACTGAACTTGTAAAGTCTAATATGTGCTGTTGGATCTTGTTAACTGAAGTAAATTTAAAATGAAAACCAATAAAGTGTAATTTAGAAACATCGGTTCTCATTTGACCTCTACAAACCTTAAGTAATTGTAATGAAATAGGGATCTCGGGCTTATTTAATAGAAACAAGTACTGTTTGAACGCCGACCTTCGTTTGTATTACCATTATTTATGTAAACTCGAAGATTGGAACTTCTTTGGTCTTTACTTAAGAACATTATTAATGATGTAATTTATTTCTTTATATAAATATGTATACAGTATAAAATATTTTAATATTTTACTTGATAAAATTTATTGCTGAGGATGGAGATGCGATATAACATGCCAAAAGCGGGTACGCTATTCTATCGGATGCAAAACATCATTACACTTAAGTTATGATTTTAGAAGAAAAATTGAATACTGGACTGGCTCGTGATTTCCTGCATTATAATATATGCAAGTCAAGCGGTCGTTTTGTACTTGAAGGTTGTCATAGTACATGACACGTTTTGTAGAACAGCCACCGGACGATGGGTATACATATAAATTATATACATATTATGTTAATTGATATCTATTAATCCAACATTATATTTAGTTATTATTCGTCTTAGAAAGTTATCATTGAGTATCACAGAAACCATACAAAAATTATATGTAATTATGTAAAGTAAATAAACTATATATTCTTTAGCAAATGTACCAATTATCATACTGTGTTAGATGGAATTAAAATCCAACGCAGCTTTAATCTGAAACGAACAAATGTAGCATTATGAATGTAAATGGAATTTTGTTTACACTCTGAGAGACAAATCAAGTGCAGGCATGAAAATTACAATCGTTCGCATAACGCATCTGTGCGTAATCTACTCTGTACACACATCACGTACTGGAGGCGATGTGTGCGGACTGCCG